GATAAAGAAGAGAAAGAAAAGAATTAATAATTCTCATATCTTTAAGTTCATATTATGATCACAATGTATACCCTGAATAAGAAGATACCAGTGAGGTGCCTACTTAACTCTGAGATAGATATCAACTTCATATTCTATTTCTTTTCTTTAATAAAGAATTGAAAGAAGATAGATCTGTCAGATCATGTGAAATTTACTAATGAAATGAAATGTTATCATTTTGACATAATTCAAGTGAAGTGTGTGATCACAGACTCAGAAGAAATCTTTAAGAAGAGCAGTCTGCTTCTTCATACAGTTAATATCATAGATAAGAATGTTATTCTAGGTCTTTTATAATTGAGAGAAAACAATTCTCTTATTAACTGAGTCACTCAGATGTGATGATATCATCTCACTAATAAAGAGATAGTGATAGAGAAATCTGAAGAGTTTCATCAGAAGAATCTTAAGAAAAAGATTGAGTCAATATACTGCATAGCAGATGATTGAGACTTGAAGATAGATGAAGAAGTCATCACTCTTGCTGCAAGATTAGCAGCAGTATCTGTCATTGAAGACAGATGTATACAACATCTCTTTACAGATTTTAAGAATGTCTTTTCAGAAAGAGAAGCAGTGAAGTTTCCTGATATCAAGATATAATATAAGATTCATCTTGAAGATGATGTAACAGCACTGTACAGACCTCTTTATAACTTGTCTATAAAGGAATTGAATGTTCTGTGTAAATATCTTGAAGAAGTGCAATCAAAGAACTGAATATATTTATCAAAGAGTTCAGCAGAGACATCTATACTCTTTATACTTAAGAAGAATGATAGACTATGTCTATGCATAGACTACAGAGACCTTAATAAGATGACAGTTAAGAATTACTATTCATTATCATTAATTGATGAGATGATTGATTGATTATCTGAAGCAAAGATGTTCTCAAAGATTAATATATAAAATGTCTATCATAGAATCAGAGTTAATGAAGATAATGTTTGAAAAACAGCTTTTCATATCAAGTATGATAATTTTGAATATCTTGTTTTATCTTTTGATCTTTGTAACACTTCAGCCATCTTCCAGGCCTATATAAATGAGGCACTGTGAGGCCTTGTCAACATCTCCTGCATAGTATACCTGGACAACATTTTAATCTTCTCAAAATCAGAGAAAGAACATGATATTCATGTTCAAGAAGTATTGAGTCACTTGAGACAGTATCAACTCTATACAAACACTGAAAAATGCTTGTTCTACATGCAGGAGATTGATTTCTTAGATTATATTATTGAGATGAATAACATTTCAATGAACAGGAGCTGAGTCTTCATCATTGAGAACTGGCCAGCACTGTGAATGTATCATGAGATACAGATATTTCTAGAATTTGTGAATTTCTACAGATAATTCATCTATATATATTCACAGATTACTGCTTCTCTTACAGATCTGTTGAAGAGAAGTGTGAAAGACAGAAAAATGAAATCATTTACTCTCACTCAAGATACTGCACAGACATTTGCAGAATTGAAACAAGCTTTCACAGATGTCATGATGCTGAATCATTTTAACCCTGACTTACTCAGTCAGTGTGAGACTGATGCATCTAAGAATGAGATCTATGAAATCTTTTCACAGTTGACACTGAAGATCTTTCAATATTGAAAGAATTAGAGAATAATCATCTCTGAAGAAACAGACAATGAATTGTCTGTGAGAGAAGACTTTTTCACAGAGTCTATAAGATATTATGAATAAAGATCAGTGACCTTCTTCTTCAAGAAGTTATTACTCATATAGAGAAGGTATGATACTTATGATCAGAAGATATTAGCAATTGTCAAATTCTTTAAAATCTGATAATATTATCTTCAGAGTAATAAGTACTCAGTGTAAGTTCTCACTGATTATACAAATCTGCATTACTTCTTAACAACAAAGAGCTTGACAGAATATTAAGCCAGATGAACAGAGCTGCTTTCAGAGTATGATTTCTATATTCAATATCATTCAGGTCGGCTTAATTCTGCTGACATGCTGTCTAGACAGCCTGATTATAATATTGTTAATACAGAGAAGAATTCTATAAAAGAATCTCTATTATCACTGCAGAAGAAGCTGGCTGCAGGGGATTGAGATTCTCTAAAGCTCAGAAACAGTGCTGGAGAGGCAGCTGTGCAACTCAGTATAGAAGATGAAAGAGAACCTGAGTCTCTGCAGAGAACTGACACTGAAGATCATGAGCTTCTCATGTTATATCTTACAATCATTGAATTAGCAAAGAATAAAACAGTCTACAATCTTTCAACTCAACTACTTTTGAAATTCATTGATAAGTTATAGAAGGAGGATGCCTCTACTGCAGCTTGAATTCAGAAGTTAAAGAAGAAAGAATTCAGTTTGAACTTGAAAGAGACAGGCTCTGAGCAAGACAGTGCTGCTAAGAAATCAAGTCACTGGTAACTAGAAGAATGTGAACTCCTACTACTGAATGATTCAGTCTTCATCTCTCATAGCAGAGCGGTGTGTCAGAAGTTATTAAGAATTCATTATAATAATTCCCATACAGAGCACTTAAGATTAGAGAAGACTAAGAAGCTTCTAAAATGTAAATATATTTGAGACAAGCTCTGAGCAGATGTCAAAGAGTATATTAAAACTTGTGATATCTGTCAAAGAATAAAGATCTCACAGTATAAGCAATACAGTGAGTTGATATCACTGTCTATCTCAAAGAGCTTATAACAGAATCTATTGATGAATTTCATAGTTAATCTACTGAAGTTAACAAGAGTCAAAGAATATAACTCAATTTTGATTATTGTTAATTACTTCACAAAGATGACCAGATATATCTCTACTTATAAAAAGGTTAAAGTCTCTGAATTGACTGATCTGTTTTTAGATACTATTATTCATGATCACAGTGCTTCAAAATCATTGATAATAGATCAAGAATCCCTCTTCATCAGTAAATACTGATCAGCTTTTTACTATCATCTTATAATAAGATGTCTTCTCAGTACTGTATTTCATCCGCAGATCAATGGCCAGACTGAACATCAGAATCAGACACTAGAACAGCATCTTCAAGTGTTTTATTCATATTATCAGAATGATTGGCTCAAACATCTTCTGACTGCTGAATTCATATATAATAATGTAAAGAATACAATCTTAAAGATATCTTCTTTCTATGCTTATTATGAATATAATTCTTCATTATTCAGTGACATCATGAATGATATTTCAAAGAGAGAAATAAGCAGTCAGAATGTCAGACAGATACAGAGAACAGAGTATCTCTCAGTATCAGAAGTAAAAGTGAGATTGAAACTTTTGAACAAAATTCATAAGAAGATGACAAAAAGTATTCATTATACTCAGAAGTAGCAGATAAAATACTATAATTGAAAACATCTTTCAATGAAGTTCTTAATAGAGAATTAAATACTACTTTCAACAAAGAATATCAAGATAACAAGATTATGTAAGAAGCTCAGTAAGCAGTGACTAGAACCTTTTCTAGTAACAAGAGTGATAAGTAAACAGATATATAAGTTGAAATTACTCACAGAATTGAAATCAATTCATTCTGTTTTTTACATTTTCTATTTGAAACTCTATAAGCAATGTTCTGAGACAGAGTCATCTCAGCTGAATAATATCAAGATTGAGAGTGATACTGAATATCTTATGAAGAAAATATTAAATAAGTAAATATATTACAGCAAGCTTCAATATCTTATTAAATAAAAAGATTATTCATTATCAGAGAATTTGTAAGAATCACTTAAGCATTTAAAAAATGCTGAGAAAGAGATTATAAGCTATGAGACAGCTAGTAAAGATTACTCTGTTACACATCAGAGACATTGAGTAAGAAATATCACTTAAGACTTCTCATTTTTCTCAAAGAGTTTTTTAGAGATAATCTCACAGTAATGAGCCAGTGTCTTGTAGACTCTGTAGCACTCTTCTTCTATTTTCTCTCAAAGGGTTTTTTAGAAGTTTAATGAGACTACACAAGTGTAAAATTCCTGAAGTGATTAGAGAAAAGAGATATTTGAAATTAATAAAAAAGATTAATATTATCAACCTGCAAGCTGCTACTATTCTAGTGAGGCCACAGCCTGCTGAAAAAGTAAAAAGAAGAAACTTCAGAGTCTACTCATTAATAATCACATTCTCATCAAACTCATTCTTCATCATTGAAGTCTTCAGCACTGATATCTTTGTCTGCTGAGAAGTTAGCACTGCAACATCACAGAAGAGCATGAGAAATGTATAAAATATTAACTTATTAACTTATAAAGCATCTCAGTTATCTGCTTCAACTGAAGTGAGATTCTCTTCAATCAGTAATTGATCTCTGTGATACTTTCAACAGCAGTACTGACTGATCTCTTCTTAAGATTAGTCATTCTGAGGTGTTTTTTCATCTCAGAGATTCACACTTTCATCTCCTTTTGCAGATGAGCAAGGGAGATCTTCTCAGTCTTAACAGAATTCATCAATACTTGAAGCTCTGAGACTCTCACTCTGTACTACTTAGGCATCTGAGCTTCTTGTCAGAGCTGATATAACACCTTCTTATAGAGTAGGTAATACTTACAGAGAGACAGAAGTTATTATTACAGATATAACAGAAACAACAGAAGTAAGAGAAGAAGTGAGTATATAGAATCCCTCTCTTCTTCAGCTGCTTAACATAGCACAGACAAGTAGCAGTGCCAGTCAGAGACTGCACTGAAGCCTTCTCATAGAGAGAAGACAAAGAAATCATGAGACTCTGCAGACTCAACTCAGCAGCATTCTGAGCAGGGCTCAGACATGCTGTGAGAGAGGAACTACAGATTGAGCTTCTCAGAGTCACTGTCTCTGAAATCAAGCTCTCTCCGAGTTCCTCTCTGAATGATCACACAGGGTCATACATCACTGTATTGGCTGAAGAGAGGGGCAGCATTGTAACAGTGATGAAGAGAGCAGAGAACAGATCAGACATGAATGAACTGATCAGCAGAAGAAATGATACCTCACTGCAAGACACAGCAACTACTGCCACAGCTGCAAAAGAAGCAGGAGAAGAAGAAGATGTGACAATAGAAGCAGTGCTCTCACAGCTCATTGACATCACTGTCTTCATCTTCAACCTGACTTTCTTGATGGTCATGAAGGCTGCCACTGCACCATGAAGATGTTTACTTACTAGAAAATGTCAGAATAAGCCCTCTACTGTTCTTCAAGAATGATACTCTCATGCACTCACTATTACAGATGAGAAGAGAGGGAGAAAAATATGTTACAGAGAGAGAAAATCTTTTCAAAAAAATCCTGCTACTACTGTTAGCTTTATCTCTAAAATACATCACTTTTGCAGAGAATTTCATATGTAGAACAGAATATATTGAAAGATCTATAAGTCACTTATTAACTATGTTTTTCATATTTCAAATTGATATATAAGAAACTCACTTATCATGTGTTTGATTTGAATGAAGATGAGAAAAGAAAGATCTATGCAGTCAGTAGAACAACTCATCTATTTCTTTGTACAGTATATATACTGTCAATCAGTTGATAACTGTTACTATATAACAAAGATAATTTCTAATCTGATAATCTTAAGAGTATTGAGACTATACTCTTAAAGAAGAGGGCATTGTCACACTCTCAGCCATGCTAAGACTCTGTTATGATTTCACACAGCTCATCACTTTCATGTGAATGATTTCATTCTATCTGAACCAGTTTTCAACCACTCTATGACATTATTCAGATATATCATAGAAAGATCTGATTGATGAATATAAGAACTCTGCTTCTATATAAGATTAGCAGATTACTCTTTCTTAGCAATGAGACACTGCTGAGGTATCACTTCAGCTATTCTCACTCATGAAATGAGAGAAGAGTATTCACTCATTGTCTATATAGAATAGCTAGATGCTGGCTTCTCATTAAAGAAGTCAGTGATTCATTTTTCTTCTACTGAAATATATATGAGAGTTACTGTGTGTCTCATACAATCTTCTTAGTATACTAAGTATCATATCTGTGATATTCTCACAATAACCCTGTAGTCTATGAGCTCGCTATTCAAGCAAGATAGTCAAGCTCACTTATACAGCTTTTCAAACAACTACTTCTACATGATGCCGCTGACTAGCCACTGCTTCGGTTCCGCCACGTTACATCAGTGAAGTTATCTGACTGTATAAGTATTTAATCTTCTACTGTAGGTCTATAATCTGGTTTTTCCTATTATTATTAATAATGATAATTGTGTCAGTGAAGCTCTTCATAGTAAATACTTAATTCACAGTAAATATTAATTATTACTTAACTTCTGTCTCAGTCTGTCACTATGTATATAAGATCTCAATCTCATTTAGTATTCTTATATGCATACAGAGCTTCAATTCTGATTTGACAGTCTCAGCTGCTTTTCTTACTACTTTAAGTAAACTCTCTGAGAGATTCTGTATATCTTTCAGTTCAGATAGCAGAGAAGAGTGTTATTCATATTAACTAGAGAAGATATTTATTTTAATGATTTTTCATTAATTATACAGTGTCTATTATTATATCATTCTATAATTCTTATTATTATTATATAACTTCAGTGATAATTACTCTCTCTCTTTTATTCTTCTGAGTAGAGAGTAAACTTCTTTAAATCTAATTTATCACTTCTCTTCTCTTTTTTCTCACATCTTATCTGTTTGTATACATGGCATTTATCTGAGTATGAAGTTTTTTCTTAATAAGCAGAGCAGTATCAATCAGATGCTCTTTCACTCACTGCTTCTTCATATACTATTCTTTAAGACATTTAGAATCACTCTTACATGATAACTATGAATCACTTTGTAGATGAAATTATCATATTCTGAAGAAGTCTGTACTTCTCACTGATTTTTAGATATGCTATCAGATGTGATTCAAAAGATTGCTTGAGTCAGTATATAATTACAGATATACAGCGGCTTCTTATATACATTATATTAAAGTAATTAGTGGCTGCTATGACCTCTTTTACATTTGTAAAGTGTGTTCAGAAGTGACCGTGTTATTATTCAGCAGTTGTACATTCTTTCCGAATCACAAATCACAGAATATTTGAAGAGAGATATTATAAATTAATTTCCAGTGAGTATTTGGAGAAG